ACCGTGCCCATCCCTCTGTTCCCCTCTTAACTATGCTTTTCGTTGAAAATGGGTTATTCTCTGAGCAAAATTATCTGAAAGACTTGATAAGAGTATTTGTTTATTCATATTTCTCAGAATTTTCTGTGGAGTGAACATTCTGTGTTTCTGCATACCTAGCTATGCAAAGTATCAACAAAAAGGTTTTTCGTTACTTCTATTTGGTAGATATTCTTAGAGTTGGGGTATAGCTGGGGTTGGATAGAAAACCATGTTTCTGGCCCCCTCCACAAAACATCAGATTTACTAGTTTTAAGTTAGGTAAATCTAAAAAACGTATCCTTGCAGATGAGGACGTTTCTTGATATGAACTTTTTCTTCTTAGTGGATATCTTAACTTATGTAGCCTGGAAGTTGAGCGCATTTCCCAAAAACCGTGTTATTGGAAGTGGTTGTAATCTGGACTCTGCTCGTTTTCGTTACTTTATTGGGCAAAGGCTTGGCATCCACTCTGAAAGCTGTCATGGGCTGATCCTTGGAGAGCATGGCGACTCAAGTGGTAAGCCTGAGGCACGATTGGAGCCTCTGCAATATCTATTTCCTACCAATCATATAGACATTTAATGCAAAGTAGCTCCTGGGAGGGGAGAAAAGACTTTATTCCACTTTAGGCCCTTTTAGTAGTAATTTTTTACTACACTTATTTTTAAAATAACAAAAAATACAGATTTGAAAAATGTGAGATTGACACTATAATCCTACATATGGATGGCTAGGATTATAATGCTTTTCTTAAATAGAGAACTAAGTATCACGATATAGTTTGTATTTAATTTGGGACACTCTAGTTCACAAAGGTCAGCAGTGTACTTCATGTAGTAGGCATTCTTCAGATTAAGGGATGGGTATAACTGAAGAATGTAAGAGGGAAGAGAAAGAGTACTGTGGTAGTAGTCTTTCTCCCCTCTTAGTGTCTTCTGGCTAAAAAACCTTTGAAATCTATTTAATATAAACCTTGGCTATGGAAAAAGACTTAAAGGTAGGAAAACTAAAACTTCCTAGTGGAAAGTTTAAAACTGCAATTTTCTTATTTGCAGAATCTTTGCCAAGATAATAGAATTGTGGATCCCCCTCTGTGGAGATCTGGATTTAGAATATCTGGAGTGGGGCTCAGATATCAGAACATTCCTAGTTGAAAACCACTCATAACAGTTTTGCTAAGGTCAAAAACCAAAACCCTGCTAATACTATGTTGTAAGAAGTGGGATTTTGGGTATCTCTTTCTTAGTTCCTGTGTGGAGTGGTGTGAACATTGCTGGTGTCCCTCTGAAGGATCTGAACCCAGATATAGGAACTGATAAAGATCCTGAGCAGTGGGAAAATGTCCACAAAAAAGTGATTTCCAGGTAATACACGCTAGTTTCACATTTTTAGTACCTTAGAAGTTGTGAGCCTGAACTCTGTTAGAAAGTTGAGATTAGTCCCTTAAGTATATGTTGTTGTACTTCCCATATTTTTATTTGCACTTCTGCTTTTTTGTGTGATCATATTCACCAGATTATAAATTCTTCAACAGTCAGGGACTGATTCTATGTTGCTCATTCCTGTGCCTAACCCAGTATTGAGCACATGGTAGGGGCTCACTTGTTGACTGACAATGTATTTTTTCAAACACTTGCTATGTAGTGTTTATTGTTAGTGGTGGAATTAATTCCATATTAATTTCTGCATCTCTGTACTTGTAACTCTAATGTTTAACCACCGTGGCAAGGCATGGTGGCTCATGCCTATAATCCCAGCACTTTGGGAAGCTGAGGTGGGAGGATCACTTGAGCTCAGGAGTATGAGACCAGCCTGGGCAACATAGGGAGACCCCATCTCTATGAAAAAAAAAAAAAATTAGCTGAGTGTATGGTGGCTTGCTTGAGCCCAACAGGTCAAGGCGAGCTCTGATGGTGCCACTGCACTCCAGCTGAGACCCTCCCTAAAAAAGGCATACATATGGCCAGGCGTGGTGGCTCATGCCTCATGCCTCTAATCCTACCACTTTGAGAGACCAGGGTGGGCAGACCACTTGAGGTCAGGAGTATGAAAACAGCCTGGCCAACGTGGTGAAAACCCAGCTCTACTAAAAATATAAAAATTAGCCACAAATGGTGGTGCACGCTTGTAATCCCAGCTACTCAGGAGGCTAAGGAGGGAAGACTGCTTAAACCCGGGAGGTGGAGGTTGCAGTGAGCCGAGATTGCACCACAGCCCTCCAGCCTGGGCGACAGAGCAAGACTTAAGAAAAAAATGCATACATACTCCAAGTAATTTCTAGGAGAAGTTGTTGATGGAGTCATTGCAGTTTTGTGGCATTGTTAGATAGGATGCTATAAAGTGGAAGTTCAATGACAAGTGGGTCTTCTCAACTAACTTATGTTTATGGTTTCTTCTAACTACAGTGGCTATGAGATGGTCAAAATGAAAGGTTATACTTCTTGGGGCATTAGCCTATCTGTAGCTGATTTAACAGAAAGTATTTTGAAGAATCTCAGGAGAGTGCATCCAGTTTCTACCCTAAGTAAGGTAGGACATTCACGTTTGAAAAATCATTAATGTCAACATAAAACAGGGGTAAATAACATTTTTGAGACACTCCGGTTTTGGGTTTGATCTCGTCGAAGAACCTCTCTTCCTGAAGTCTGTTCTTTGCTGCTGAAGAGTGGGGAGATCGGGGAAAGAGTCTATCTTTATAGACCTTTGTCCTGGTCTAGCGTGACATTTCCTTTTATCTGAAGAGTGGGGAGATCGGGGAAAGAGTCTATCTTTATAGACCTTTGTCCTGGTCTAGCGTGACATTTCCTTTTATTAGATAAAAGTAAGTGTTTTTGCAACTTGATTATTTAACTAAGTGATCTGACTCTACCAGTATCTGGAAGCACTGGGAACCACTATGGGCAGACCTTGGTACCTTTGGAGTTGTTCTCTTCGTTTCGATTATGTCCAATGAAGAGATCTAGGAAAAAAGCACTAGACACAAAAGAATTAGCAGTCTCCTGGGGAGAGGGGAGTTGGGGCATGGGTGAGATCCTTCTGCTAGTCTAAATGGGAGAGGTTATAAAACAAGAGAGATCTAAATCATTGGAAATAAAGTCATCGGAATTTTGAAGTGGTCTCTTGATAGGAAGTGGTATGGAGTAAGGAGATGAGGAAAGAAGGGTGGGCCCCAGCAAACATGGCAGGAGGCTGGGGCCCATGTGGAGAGATGGTGGGTTGAAACTGAACAATAAATATGTCTAATCATGTTTTAAATTGTTCTCTGTCTTGGTACTCTGCCATAGTTTGTACTACCAATCTGTTATTCGTTCACCTCACAACTGTTGTTTCTCATATTGCAGACCTTTGTTAAAAGTTAAAAAAGGAATAATTTTTAAGTCTTTACTTTCAGGGCCTCTATGGAATAAATGAAGAAATATTCCTTAGTGTCCCATGTATCCTGGGAGAGAATGGCATCACAGACCTCATAAAAGTGAAACTGACCCTTGAAGAGGAGGCCTGCTTGCAAAAGAGTGCAGAAACACTCTGGGAAATTCAGAAGGAACTCAAGTTTTAAAGTTGCTTAAAGTTACCATTCTATAGATTGAAGATGAAATAGTAGTTATGGAATTGTATATGTCAAACTTTAAAATAAATTTGAATTTCTAAAAGTTGGAAAAATAGAGGAAAGAGTGACCTATTTAGTGTAGCCTTCCAGCTTTTTTTTTTTTTTGGGTGGGTCTCATTCTGTTACCCAAGCTGGAATGCAGTGGCACCATCACGGCTCACTGCAACCTTGACCTCCCGAACTCAGGTGAGCCTCCCACTTCAGCCTTCAGAGTAGGTGGGACCACATGTGTGTGCCTCCATGCCTGGCTAATTTTTGTATTTTTTTGTAGAGATGGGGTTTTGAACTCCCAAAGTGCTGTGATTACAGGGGCGAGCCACTGTGCTTGGCCTTAGCTTTGATTTAGTATCCAGATGATGGACGACACTTCTTTTTTTTTTTCCAAACAAAAGTGATGGCATCAAAGATGTTTTTGGTATCTTTTAGTACTTGCCTTGTATGTACACGTAACTGCCATCTGGTCCATGAGAATGTGTATGCTGTGTTATAGAAATCTTGATTCTTTTCATCAGGTGCATAGTAATTCTTCTCTATGGCTTAATACCTGTGTTTACATGCTATTTAATAAAAGCTTTAATTTCCTCTACAATGTAAAAATAAAAATATATATATGCACACACACACACAAAGTAATCTAAATGTTCCTAACATTAGATAAAACCTTGATTTGACCTTGCTGGTTTTTCTTCTGGTAACTTTTATGAGTGCATTTTAATTTTTACAGAAAAGGTCTTAAGCTGTAAACCCCTTGGTGACAACAGATTAAACTGGTCGTTCTTCTCTTGGGAGTAGAATGGGCTGCCTAATTATCTTAATAACATCCCAAATCGGAATATACTTTCCTTTATAGCCTCATGAGCCTTCTAGCACTCTCATTTTGATCAAGAACATTCTATTCTGGATGAGCTCTGCAGGACATACAGTAGCTACATAGTTCATTGGGTGGTCACAAACTTGGCTACAGAATCACTCACCATGAAGACAAAACTTTAAATGACAAAGCAGGGAGGCAATGGTACACTGTATCTTTCCCTTTAATCCTAAAGTTATCAGGTATATAGCTTGGACCTGCCACTGTGCTCCTTTCTGATGAAAAAACACTTATGGTTCACTGAGACCTAGAAAGGAAACAAATTTAGTAGGGTTGGTAGGAGAGTATCACCTTGGACCTTTCACAGGTAAGTTACTCAAATCCTTTCAAATATTTCAAAATTTAGATTTCTATTTGGTATATCCCCATATTCACTTCATATGCTGTAGAATAATACTAATTTCAACTTAAGATGGATTTTATGCTTTTTTTGCTAAATGAAAAGTTGGGCTTATTAAGGTTTCATGGATCTTTCCTAAAGTTCAATAAAGGAGAGAAAAATTATGCAACAAATTTTATTTAGCAGTCCCAACATTCAGCACAAAAAGTTTACAGAGGATAGAAAGTGCATTAATAAAAGCCAGTCTTTACCAAAAGAAAACAGAAAATATATTATTGATTCAAAATATTTTACACTTGAATGATAAACTGCAATAACTTATTCTGGGCACCTACTGATAAGAGAAAGGAAGAGAAGAAAAGAATACTTTAAGAAGAGCTCAACTTCTAGCTGGTATCAGAGAAGTCAGTAGAGGTCACTGAGACCGGCAGTCTTTCTTGCTTTTTGCATTAGTGCCCTCAGCTGGAACTGTTTACGGGACAGAAGACGTACATGCTGGGAGGGGAAAAAAGTTTGAATAGTTTAGAATGGCTTTGATTTAGGCCCAGTCATAAAATATCAGACAATTTGTAACCTAGATAGGATCTAAGAACCCTAACTCAACCTGTCAACCTTTGGAATGAATACCTCATTACATGTGGCTTTTAAACTTCGTATTATAAAGGCTTACTCAACAGGGAAAGCATTACATTGCAGGATCTGGCTCAGGAGTTTGACTTACACTTTCTTTTCCTAAGCCATGCCACTCAAGAGATTGTACAGAAAGAGAGTCCTTTCTTGGGTCTCTGGTTTACATCCAGCCATTCTTGTGGTTATACCACTTCTGAGGCACATGGTTTGGCCATTCCCCCACAGTGAGGAGATAGGCAAGATCAGCACATGACCTGACCTGGCTCCAGCTGCAGCTGGATCAGCTATCCCAAGGGTGGCTGCTATTATTCCTAAAACCATATTCTCCATGACCCAAGAGACAGCAGTAGCCAAACTTCGCTTACTAGATTTTCCTCTGTACAACAGCATTAAGCTTGAGACAACTTTCATTCAAGAGGGCTTGAAAGGACAGCCTGATACCTTGAAGGGCTGTCTGATGTGGGAAAACTGGTCTAAAGTTATATAACTCTAAGAAAATTAACAGATAAAAAATGGAGGTGGCACAATCAGTGATCTCAGGTGGTATGACCTCAAAGAACCAATGGAAATCTGATCGTGCCTCCTGATCCACCCAGGCACAGAATTACACTCATCTTAATGCTGCCTGGTGGATAGAGAACTGCAGCCAGCAGCCCACTTTTCTTCCCCTGCTCAGATCAATCCTCAGTACTCTGTAGGTAAAAAGATGGCACAAAACCCTACATCTCATTTGCTGTCTTTTGGGAAGATAAAGAATCTTAATTCATACTACAGAGAAACTCTCTTGGTTTGTGGTTTGCAAGGTCAGGGCCTCTACAGCCCAAGTTAAAAAATCTTGGAAAGTAAAATGAAGACATACCTTCAGGAAGACATCCAGGTCTATCACTCCCCTTCTCAAGGCTTCTCCCAAGTAAAAGATAGTGTCTTCAATAGCGTTTTCTTCTGCATACAAATTCAGGATCTGTTTGTATAAGGGAGCTGTGGGAATGATAACTTCATCGATATCATTGTTTTCAGACTGATTTTCCATTTTCTCCAGAGCAGAACTGAGTTCTTCATCCTTCTTTTTCAAAAGTTCTATGTTTTTATCAACCTCGGCCTGAAAACAGAACAGTCCAAGCATTATTAATTGTATATAATTATCCACTTATTAGACATCTACAACACTTCACAGAAAAAGGTGGGCTAATAACCACGTTTAAATAACTCATGGATGAGAATCATGTTTCAAATAGCACCCTGGTCAAAGGTAGAGGAAAAGATGTGATCTATGCTGAGTGAAATACAGTAATGATGGAGATATCCTGAGCTGACCACTTTCAGCGACGGTAACAAGCCTGTCACTTGTCAGTGACAAATGATCCTGCAAACTAAGCCGTCAGACAAGATACTTTCCAGCAGAAGGTTCCTTTACATAGAAAATCATAAGAGGTTTTTCTTCTCAGCAAGTAGGCATCTGCCATAGGAGAGTAACTTTCCCGTCTATGAAGAGGATTCAATGCATAGAGGCCCAAATGTCTGTATTCTAATCACAAAGTATCACACGCAGGTGATGGCTGTAGGCTCTGAGTTGTATTGGTGTCACTTTCCTGAATTCTAAAAATTGGCTACTTCGAAGCTCATTTTATAATCTAGAACCACTCTGTAAGGCTAATGGGTACACACAAATCACTTTCCACAGCGCCCTCAACCTTCTAAGAATTCTTGACTCTTCCATCAAAAAGGCACATTTACTGGAATAAATTCTCCTTCATGGGGATGAAAATGGAGCATGAAATTGGCATTTCAATTATGCTGATGCCTCCACTTTATCATCATTAAGCAAAGCCACAGGGCTGACTTACACATGGACTCTCCAAGGCACAGCTGTCTGTTATAAATATGAGAAAGCTTAAAGAGCTGAAGGTTGCATATGCTATGTTTATATGTAGCTCTTTAGCCAACCAAGTATCTCTGGATTATTGTGAAAGTTCCCCGAACATACTTTTAAAGATGGCTCACACAACCTTTGGAAACAATAAAACAGTACTGTCCTTTTAAGTCTGCACCTAAGATGTAGAGATCTTTATCATGGCTTAGAGCTCTCAACTTATTTCTTAGTAACTGGCAACATCAACCACTCAAACAGTCCTCCGTTGGGTTAAAACATCATTTCCTAGGGCAAAGGTGTGTTATGGTCTGGCTGTGTCCCCACCTAAATCTCAACTTGAATTTTATCTCACAGAAAGGGACCTGTGAAGGGGCGGAGGCGGTAATGGAATCATGGGAGCCGGTCTTTCCTATGCTATTCTCATGATAGTGAATAAATCTCACAAGATCTGATGGGTTTATCAGAGGTTTCCACTTTTGCTTCCTCCTCATTTCCTCTTGCCACCACCATGTAAGAAGTGCCTTTTGGTTGGGTGTGGTGGCTCATGCCTATAATCCCAACACTTTGGGAGGCCAAGGTGGGCGGATCACTTGAGATCAGGAGTTCGCGACGAGCCTGGCCAACATGATGATACCCCGTCTCTACTAAAAAATACAAAAATTAGCCAGGCATGGTGACAGGCACCTGTAATCCCAGCTACTCAGGAGGCTGAGGCAGGAGAATCGCTTGAACCTGGGGGGTAGAGGTTGCAGTGAGCCGAGATCATGCCACTTCACTCCAGCCTGAGCAAGAGTGAGACTCTCTCAAAAAAAAAAAAAAAGAAATGCCTTTTCCCTCCCACCATGATTCTGAGGCCTCCCCAGCCATGTGGAACTGTAAGTCCAATTAAACCTCTTTTTCTCCCCAGTCTCGGATGTGTCTTTATCAGCAACATGAAAATGGACTGATACAAGGTGCAAACAAAATGGTCTAAATATTATTCCCCTCCCAATCAAAGACCAAATACCAGACACAGGCTCCACTGTAAACAAAGCTATAAAAAATTACATTCACATGTCTAAAGATGCCTATAATTTTCTGAACTCCTATTATGCCCACAACATCCAGGATACATATAGAACACTTTGCCATGGCTACAATTCAATCCAAAACTTTTAAGTCTTTAATGAGTCACTTACTACTTCTTGATCTAAACGGGTAACCATCTCTTCCAGTTTTTGGTGACCCTTTTTCAGGTCTTCTTCTGTTCGTTTCAAGGCATTGAGCTCTGCCTGGGCACGATCCATTTCCTCCTTCATCCGCCATCTCAGTTTGTCACTGACCGCTGAGATGAGAGAGGCTCGGATGGTGTCCTCGCTGATTGTGCCATCCCTACTGGGACCTGCAGGAAACAAGAGGCAAAAAACACTTGCTTACTTCCCAAGTTCCTTCTATTCGTCTCACAGGAACCTTCAGAAAAGAGGGCAATATGAACCGACACTTTCAAAATGTGAGGAAAGAAAAAAATTACGTTTCATCAGAAACAATGTAAAAAATCTGAGTTGATTCAGAAATACTTGCCCTGAAAGAGATTACTATTAATCCATGTTAAACCCAGTTTCCCTATTCATAGCCCAAACAATTAGCTATTTTCTCAATGAGACAGAGGCCATGTCCCTACCAATTGCAATTATTCCTAAATCACCAACAAATGGCACGATAATTTCCACCAAGGAAAAACATTTGATGCAGGCAAAGTCCAATATCAGGCTTCACTGCTAAGCTGAAGGAGACAGGTGCCCATTGTAGCAGCCAGTGAGGACTGAGAATGGGCAGTTTCCCTAAACGAATGTACAGTTTAATAAGGCTCCCCTCTGTAAGACTTTCACTCCTTCACCCTTTACCAACAGGACAGAATGGATAAACAAAAAAGAACGACATCCAAAAATTCAACAGCTGATAAAGTGTTTATTCCCAGATTATTCTCTTCCAAATGTCCCTTCCTAATCAGTGTATTATATAATTTCCATGCATATTTCAGATCAAATAAACATCCCCTGGATATTTTCTTCAAAAAGGTCTCCTTTTTAATATAAAGGTTGGGTATTCTTTATGACTATCAGTGTTCTTCAGTTATTGTCCTAAATCAGCAAAAGTGTAAATGGCATTTTGACTTAATTATGTTTGATTATAAAATACTATGTGAGGACATAAGTATATTTAACCTTAATTGCCTTTTTTTTCAGATGGAGTCTCACTCTGTCACCCAGGCTGGAGTACAGTGGCATGATCTCGGCTCACTGCAACCTCTACCTCCTGGGTTCAAGCAACTCTCCTGCCTCAGCCTCCCGAGTAGCTGGGATTTCAGGCACACATTACACATCACAATGCCCGGCTAATTTTTGTATTTTTAGTAGAGATGGGGTTTCACCATGTTGGCCAGGCTGGTCTCAAACTCCTGACCTCAAATGATCCACCTGCCTGGCCTCCCAAAGTGCTGGGATCATAGGTTTGAGCCACTGAGCCTGGCCTTAATTCCTTCTTAACTCCTGAAGTTCTCTTTAGCATCTTCCCACAAAGGCAAAAACCTTCAACACATCTCCAAAGAAGACTGAAACCATTAATGGGTGACTCCGATTCTCGTTTCTTCCACTTCTTTTGGAACAAGAATCCTAACCCCTTTATTTACATGCCTGATTCCTCACTGTTCACAAGTACAAACTTCCCTTTCTCAGCAAGACAGCTTGCTTTCTTCCAGATCCTTCCGAAGGACCAGATGCTTTTAAGCTTGTACCTACTTCTCTAATTCCAATGAGTCTAAGTCCAACAACTGCTTTTACGACTATGCTTTTGTTCTTATTCTCTGGTTAAGGCTCTTGGCTAAGTTAAGGCCCATTTATTCACTTCTCTTACCAGCCCCAAACCGTGGGTCATCTTTGAAGCCCTATTCTCTCTAGTGTTTACATCCTGTGAGGTCAACTCCAGTCTTAGCCAACATCACTCTCTAATTCATGCATATTCTCAATAGAAGTGATATCCCCCAACAACTGGGCAAAAATTGGTTTGAGGTGGAAAAAAAAAAAGTCTTGTTCTTATGTATAAAGTAGAGATATCCATACAGTACCTAAACAGATACACAGTATAATCAACATTTGTCGGGGGTGGGAATTGTTAGGGGAAAAAAAGTCTAAAAAGTCTTCCTAGGAGGGTGACAATGAAAAAAAAAAAAAAAAGTTAGGAAACACTGCTGAAATTCATCTGTGATCTTGTTTTTCAACTAGATGTTTTGTTGCTACTGTAAACTTCTACTTGCTGGCCTTGTCACTACCATCCCAATCTCTTTTCTTTTTCTTTTTTTTTTTTTTGAGACGGAGTCTTGCTCTGTTGCCCAGGCTGGAGTACAGTGGCACAATTTGGGCTCACTGCAACCTCTGCCTCCCAGGTTCAAGTGATTCTCCTGCCTCAGCCTCCCAAGTAGCTGCAATATAGGCATGCACCACCACACCTAGCTAATTTTTCTATTTTTGGTAGAGATGGGGTTTCGCCATGTTGGCCAGGCTGGTCTCAAACTCCTGACCTCAAGTGATCTGCCTGCTTCATCCTCCCAAAGTGCTGGGATTATAGGCATGAGCCACTGAGCGTGGCCTTATCCCCATCTCATTCTTAAACTTATGATCCACATCAGCTACATTTAAATTAAACTAAACACAACCTATGAAAAGCAAACTTCCTGAAAGCCTTGTGAATTACCTGGGTCTTCTAATTACCTGTTAGATGATCCTGCTTTTTACCAAAACCATCAACAAACTCTGTCAACAAACTCTGTCTAAGCCATTCTAAACTAACAAAAAAGTTTAATGCTCTCAAATATCAGATCCCATCTTCTCTCTACCATTAAATTATGGTGAAAGCTAATCTTTGCCAATGATCTTTCCTCCATTAACAATAATTCCCAAAATATCAGCACAACAACTAGAATCTGCTCTCTCTTAACAGTTATCACTACCCTTATTAGTTTAAAAACCTATTTTCTGAAGGAAAGGACTCTATAATCCTTATTATGCAGCCTAAATCCTAAATGTTAAGGGTGGCAAACTGTTGCTGAATGATTTCCTGAGATCAACAGAATTGGTTATCTTCTAGGAGTCCTAGAGAAAAGGCTCAGATGGTTAGAAGTCCTTAGGATGTGCTTTTTTGGAAACTTTCCTTCTCTTGCCTTCTGCTGGAATGTAGAAGAAGGTAATTATTAAAATTGTTTATAAATACACAAGTGCTCAAAAATAAATAGTAAGGTGGTATTAAACCAAATGAAAGAACTCATCAATATCTCTACTACCTGAAAATCAGAAAAGTGAACTGCTAAAACTCTACTGCTTTGAAGGCATGTGGTTGGAAAGAGTGCTGAAAAGTCATTACTAGAGTAAAATATTTAAAATTATGGATTTCCAAGGCCAGGTGCAGTGGCTCAAGCCTGTAATCCCAGCACTTTGGGAAGCCGAAGCAGGCGGATCACAGTTCGAGACCAGCCTGACCAACATGGTGAAACCATGTTTCTACTAAAACTACAAAAATTAGCTGGGCGTGGTGGCACACGCCTATAATCCCAGCTACTCAGGAGGCTGAGGCAGGAGAATCACTTGAACCCAGGAGGCGGAGGTAGAAGTGAGCTGAGATCGCGCCATTGTACTCCAGCCTGGGTGACAAAGCAAGACACCATCTCAAAATAAAATATAAAAAATAAATAAAATTATGGATTTCAGTAACAGTGACAGGAGGCAGCCAAATGCCTGGGCAGATGGGGTGGGTCCCCGGTGAAACACCACCTTCAAGCCAAAAACAGCCGAAAGGCTGAAAGATTGGACTGTAGGTTCTGGATGAAACCCCCGACATAGAGTGAGAACTTCTATTCCTGTTTGCTCACCCTTTCCCATTGATTCCTTCTAAATAATGCCTTTTAACCAATCAAATGTTGCCTTTTCCAATACTACCTATGGCCTACCCTGATTTCCTAAGAGTCCCTAAGAAGCCCCAGGACTCAGCCACTTAGTGGGAACTTTTCCACCTTTGGGTAGGGGAACCACCCCCGTGTCTCCTTTCCACTGAAAGCTGTTTCATCACTCAATAAAACTCCCTGTCTTGCTCACGCTTTGATTGTCAGTGCATCCTCATTCTTTCTGGGCACAGGACAAGAAATTGGGAACCAGTGGGTAAGCCAGACTCGGCCCAAGTGGGCCGAGTGGGAGGGCTGTCTCCTGCAGCAGGAAGCATGGTTGAGGGAGGCCCAGGCAGGGTGTCGCTGGTCAGAGGTCCCTGGCTTGCAGAGTGACTGAGAAGAAAATCTTGCATCATCAACACTATCACTGCTTCACTTTATTCAAACAATTTTGCCCAACCAGCCACCATAATTCAGTGCTAAGCCCCTTCGGCAGTTAAATTCTTTAAATATTTCTGTCCCCAAGGGAACATCCAAATTCTTTAGCAAAGAATATTACCATAATTACCATAATTCAATCTCTTGGACTTGCTTTGGTTTCCCCATTTTTGCCAGGGAGGGGAAAACTGATTTATAATTTTGGTCTCTCACAACAAATTCGAAGGATGAGAAAAAATGTAAACTGCAATACAGTTTGAGAAAACTACTAAAACACCTTAACACAAGGAAGAATAAACATGAGATCTTTGCTGTAACCATTAAAATGCTTTTTCTAGTAGAGAGGTAGTCTCTCAATGTTGCTCAGGCTGGTCTCAAATTCCAGGCTCAAGCTATCCTCCTGCCTCAGCCTCCTGGAGTGCTGGGATTACAGGCATGAGCCACTGTGCCTGGCATCCCACCTATTTGCTATTGCAAAAAACAAAAACGAAAGAAACAAAAAACCTCAAAGTATAGGAATCTGCTATAATACCTGGTTTGTAACAGGAGTGATGGCCCAGCTCATGCTTCAGTGAGCATACATCCTCCTTTTCCATTGCTACATGTTGCCCATCTCATCTTCGATATTATAGTATCAGGCAGGAAGCTTTTGGCAGATCTTAATTTTTTTTTTCTTTTGTGTTCAGGTATTTTTTGTTTTCAACTGATAAAATTTTTATTTCACTTTGAATTTTTACACTTTTCCTGATTATTCTGTGTAAGGTGAAACTAGAACTGTTTAAAAGACATACACAAACCTAGTACATCAATAACTGGGGATTTTTCTTTTTTGCTATACTATTTTCACAACCACGGGTGTGCTTGCTAGGCAATATAATCATCACAGAAGAAAATGTTAGGCGGAAAACTGGTTAAGGAAAAACAAAGCAAGAAAAGAGCTACCAGATATACAAACAGGCTCAGTTCCACATGCACTACTTTATTTTCAAGGGCCAACTATTAACTGCACATTTTTGTTCAGCTAGAAAGGT